CAGGCCATTCTGTGATCCCCTGGAAGACAGGGGAAGAGAAACTTTCTTGCTTTTGATCAGCAACAGCAGCACTTGTGCCTGTAGGCTGCTCAGTCTGTTAAGCAGCCTAACTCTAAAATTATCTTACTCCTCCTTAGCAGCTCCTAGGATGAAAAGTCAATTCCAGACTACAGATTGTGCTTTTCACTGTTAAAAAGAAAGCCAAGAAGTTTAAGAGACTTTTTTATGATCTTGCCCAGGGAAGCAGTGCAAGTTGTAACATTCAGCCCTACCCCACTTTGGTGCCTGACAAAAGGCTCTCTGTTCAAATAGGTTGAGCTTTTGAAGAGTGCATGTGGAACAACTCAACACACAGAGCAAAAAGGAAAAGGACAAGAGGAGATGCAACAGTCTAACAAATTTCTGTAGCTCAGGCCAAGCCAAGGGAAATCCAAAAAAGTGAAGAAATTAATGTTTAAGATGAGATGAACACTTGTGCTGCTCCTGAAGGCACTTAAGAATATAAAATATGCCAGATCACATAACTGAGCAGTATAGTTGAAGCTGCACACTCAGTGTTTCTTCTAACTCTGAGAAAAACCTTTACGACTGTGCAAATTCCCTCTAGCCCCATGATAACAACTGCATTCCCAGCTTGGCTTCTTTCAGACTGAGTCAGTACTTGCATCCCTCCTGTGCAATGCCATGCAGGTGTTGTGTATCAAATAAAATGCCATATTCACACATCACTGCTCTCCTCAGAGCAGTCCAACTTGCACTACAACCTTATCTCTCTCTTCTTTCCCTCCTTCTCAGAATTCTCTTTGCGAAGTTGCTTGAAGAAATATCCCAACTCATTCAGAGTGGCCCCAGCTCCTTCCCTCCCTACTGCTCCCACCTGCTGAAAGGACAGAGCCTGCCAATGCTGTAATGGCCATCTCCCACCTTTGCTCTTTTGCTTTTCAGGAGAAGATGAAGGACAAAGGAGAGTCACAAAGATGGGCATCAGTTTTTCCTCCTAAAGACATATATTTAGCAAATTCTCACTTGTGCTTACAAAGCAAGAGCAACAATGGCAGCTACAACTACATCATAGAGCTGTGGTACAGTTTCAGGCTTCTTACAGTAGTGAGAGATAATAACCCATTCTACCTTTCATTTTACACAGCAGTAGCCATTGAGCTGCCTTGTTGGGAAGCAGCAATTGTAAAATGGAAACAAGAGTGGTGAGAGATCACCTACATAATTTTCTTGGCTACATGTTCCTTTCTCTCAATATAAAAACCAAACAGGAAGCATTCTCATAAACTCACAGAAGGAAGAAGGGAAGTTTTCTCCCCCCAGGCTTGTGGGAAAGGAGCGATGCTCTGACTATCAATTACTGCTGCAATCCTCTGGTGGAAGCAAGTGCCTGAGGGCAGCCACACAGTCTGTTCCTTCTGGCCCATGTTGCCCGTTGTCTGAATTCAGTTTGCTATTTATTGGAAAAAATCTTAAACTGTATCTCAAAGCACCCAGGCAGCATTGCTTTCCAGGCCACGTCCCCGGGAGAATCACAGATGCTGCAGTTTCTGTCTTCAGATAACTGCTAGTTAGAGAGCAAACACGTTATTGCCTCCTGCTTTCGGTAACTACACTTCTCATCCTGAGTGGCTGGCACGGCTCTGACAGCACAGCAGCTCCTGTGAATGCTCTCCTGAGACAGTTTCAGGCAGAATTGGTTTTCTTGAGACAGTGGCAATTTGTTCTCTGATGGTTCTGACCTGCACGCTCCTCTGAATCTCTCTAGGTTTCCTGGAGCATTTACCCCCCCAGTCATGCTGGTACACAAATGTAACCTGACATTAGCAGTGAGCTGCTCCAAGTTGATGCTCCAAGCTGAACAACGGCTGCAGTGCTTAAACTGCTGATGCCAGCTTCAACTGAGGCCCAGCTTCAAAGCCCTGACCAAACCTAATGAGTGCTTCCTAAAAATGAGGTGTGCACACAGACAGCACAGAGCAGTGGCATAC